TTATTTTTCCTCACAAAGCCTACTTTCACTATTATCGCTTAAAGTCCACAGTGGATTAAATTACAAAACAATTGTAGAACAACAGGAGGGTTTGGTATCTCAAGAGAATATTTAAAGTAGAAAGTTGTATTTTTAACTTGGACATTTTTTATTTTAAAAGCATATGGATTATTTAGTTGGAGAGTTAATGTGTTGTTCATTTATAGATTACTGGATTTCAAAATCATTTTTACCAACAGTGTAGATCAGAGGGATTTTTGTGTAACAGAACTCCAGTCTTGTATATAAGCAGGATAAAAGAAAGAGAGAAACTTGATCAAAGGAAAAACATGAAGGAAATATAGATTTAAATGATTTTGGAAGTATTAGAAGTACATATTTTTGTTTGCTTCACATAATTTTGCTATGTTTTAAGAACGTATTAAAACGTAAAAATGTATTAAACTCGGTCCAGATTGAATTGGTTTATACATTCTGAATTTTATATTTGCCTTAGTCTATTGTGCCAATGTTCAATAACGTCATCAGACATCCCTTTTGTAAAATTATTTTGTGCAAATTGTACAAGTTCAGGTTTTGGAGAATTTGATTAGATATATTTACAAGTTGTCTAAAAATGACATAACCATTCATTTCAGTGCTGAACTCTAGTACTATAAATTACATTACAAGCTCATATAATACAATACAATATAATAGAATAGACTTTATTGTCTCCTAGGGGGAAATTTGTCATGGACTGAAAAGTGCGTAGTGCATAATAGTAGCTGCCATTAGAAACAATAAATACACAAAAAAAAAAAAATACCATCTGAGGACGTACACGTAGGCTACATACACTTGCATAACAAACTAAATTGCTTTAAAATTTACTTTGAAGTAAGCAGGACAGCAACAGGGTGGCACATTTTGCAGCACTATTGCCCTGCAGCAAGGAGGTTCAGGGTTTGATTTCTGGCCCACGGTTTGTTTTTTTTTTTGGAGTTTGCATGTTCTCCCCATGTATGGGGGTACTCCAACTTCGTCCCACAGTCTAAAAACATGACTTATAGGTTGTGCATGGTTGTGTGTCTCTGTCAGGCTGGTTCCTTCTGTCAAGATTTGGTTTTAAGGTTGTTGATTGGACCCAAAAGCAGAAGCTGAGAGGCATAGGTGAGTTCTTGGAGGGTTTAATCAGAGATCAGGCAAACAAAAACAGGAATCCAAAAATCCAACATAAAAATCCAACACAAACCAGAACCGTGGAGACATCAGGGAAAAACCATCAAGGAGCCAGGGTGAGGAAAGGTAAGACGAGGAACCAGCAAAGAGGGACTGCAGAGGGAGAGTATTTATGGCTGACTGAACAAAGGTAGAGCTAATGAGCTGATAGGGAGCAGGTGTGATTAGAGCTGACGAGGAAGCCAAGGGAAAAGAACACAAGGAGGCAGCAGAGGACAGACAGAAAAACCTAAGCAACTTAAATGAATCCAGACACACCAAAAAAGCTAGAAAACAATGAAAAACCTGGCTAAACTTGAAACAGAAAACTTAAAGAAAAACAACAGAACCAAGATCGTTACAGTCTCTGTGTTTCCCTGCAATGGACTTGCGACCTGTCTAGGGTGTACCCCGTCTCTCACCCATAGACAGCAGGAGATAGGCACCAGCCCCACTGTATCCCTGAAGGAATAAGAGGGAGAAGCTGGATGGAAGGTAAGCAGGAGAAAACTTAACTAGATGGTTACTGAAATAATCATTTTGGACTGGCAATATCATTTAATGGTATTAAATCCAGAGTCCATATTGAGTACAACACCTGGAAGAAGCCAGACTAAATTACTTTTTCATACATTTTTGACACTGCTTGGTATTTTTTTGTGAAACCTCAGGCCTGCCAACCAAAGCGAGAATTCAAAAGCCCTGTTTACTCCCAAGTCTTTTGCCAGAAAAGATTAAGATGAATGTTTTTCTTGATGTCTAACACAGTTAAACAGGGCTCTCCTGTTTCAAATGAGTAAATCTTATCCTTTGAATACTAGTAAAATCTCTGTAGTGTACTATTTCTTTTTCACACATGCTAAAATACCAAGTATTTTAGTTAGTGCAAGGCGTGTCTTCTGATTATTTTGACTGGCAGTGTGTTAGCAGCTGTATTTTTCCGGGGTTTTTCCTCAGTTATCTTTATGACCCATCAAATTTCAAGGCCAAGTCATATGCCGAGGTTTCTCTACAACAGATAAGACTTAACAATGATAAGCGACACAGGATCAAAATAAAACCTGCTCAGGACAGTACTTTTTGTTTCTTAGTTCAATGACTGTGTGCTGCTTGTGTGTCAGTAAACATTTAAAAGTGTCAAATAATAAGCAAGTTCTCTGCAGTAGGGTGTTGGGTAAAAAAAAAAAGAAAAAAATACAGTAGCTTTGCTAAATGTTTAGTCTTTTTGGGGTGTTCCAGTGCTTTTACTTTTTTGTTTTTTTTTTTTTGTTCTCGTTTCGAAAATAAGAGTGGTTCATGTATTCAAAGGTTATTTAATAAGGGCACAATAGCAAACATGCAGCTATATTGTTAACGATACACTGAACAGCCCCTTCATAAATCACAACTCTTTATTATTTTATCAACAAATAAAAAGCATAGCAGGAGTTAAAAGTATTTTGGCATCAAGATGTCATGAAATTGGGAAAATACCTTTTAAGCGTGTTTAAAATGACATGGTACACAATGAGACTGGTCTGAATGGCTCAAAACGGTTTGATCTGTCTGGTTTTTTATGCGGAATCGTCCATTAGATTCTAAGAACAGCCTGAAAAATGGGAATTATCTAAATGACAGCAGGTGTGTGGATGAAATACAGCTAAGAGCAGAAAAATTAGGTTTCATTATTTGAAAAACCACTAAACAAGCTTAAAACAGAGTTAATCAAACTTTTGCTCTGTTTTAATGAAGAAGTATTGACACCTATCAAGAAGTCTTTGTATCTAAACATTTCCAGTTAAGTGTCCAAAAAACTTTAAAAAAGTTCGAAATCAAACCACTGGACTTTGTTTTCCAAGTTTGAAGATGCTTCACTTCCCATCCAGGAAGCTTTTTCAATTCAAAATGTCTGGATTAGCGATGAGTTCCAAGCTTTATAGAGTAGCCCAACAAAGCCTTGTTATGGCTTAGAAAACATGCAGTTTGAACCAAAAACAGGTCCACTGATTAGTAATGGGGAGTCGTTAAGGTCTTTGCTGGCCTGCAAAACCAGATACTGGTCTATGTCTCTGAAAGGGGGGTCGTTAGGGGGGATTGTTGGCCTGGCTGAACGGGACGAGATGTACTGGTTCCGCTGCATGGCGATGAGGAATGAGATGATAGCGGGAGGGAATCAACTCTATTCTTGCGTTGTAGGTTTTTGAGAGCTGAAACCTGATTCCACCCCCTCTATTTAAGGTTTGTGTTTCTCTCTAAATGGCTTCCTTTACACTCCTTTCAAACCACCTGTCTTCTTTGTCCAAAATGTGGACAGTCCGGTCCTCAAAAGAATTACCTTTGTCCATAAGGTGTAGATGTACCACTGAGTTTTGTTCGAAGCCTGTCTGTGTTGGACCATGTGTCTGTAGAGAGGTTGTTTGGTTTCTCAAATATAAAGATCAGAGCGTTCCTCACTGCACTGAACTGCAGACACCACTCTGCTCATCTTAGGTCTGGGGGTTTTGTCTTTAGGATGCACTAGTCACTGTTTAAGGGTCTTGTTTGGTTTGAAATGTACTAAGATTTTGTGTTTGGAGAAAATCCTCTTGAGTTTGTCAGAGACTCCAGCAACATAAGGGATGGCAATGTTTTTTCATTTAATCTTCTAACTGTTATGTTCTGCTGCGTTTCTTTTTGTCCTTACTGATTTGAAAAACGTCCAGTTTGGGTATCCACCGGTTTGGAGAGCATCTTTGATATGTTTCTGTTCTTTGTGCTTACCTTCTGTTTTAGGTTCTTAACTTTTTAAACTTTTTATAGAATGACTACTATCTGGATGGATTAGAATGCTCCTAAGCATAGTTACATTTCCGATCCACCTTTCGTTCCATTTTCTTAATCATTTTTTTTTTTATGTTATCAATCACTTTATCCTTTTTAAATATATAATCCTCTCATTTTAATGGGTCTCTTTTTTCTCTTTAACAATTTTTTTTGCCACTGCAATGTGCTTTTCTTTTTCCTGTTAAAATGTAGTTTTTCTCTCCACTGTCACTACATGCATGCTCAGTGGGAGGAATTGCAGAAAGTCAAGGAGTCCTCGCAATCAGCTAGTTTTCCTTGGATAGAAATATTTTTAACAATATGATTGCGTTACCTGCATAGATAAACGTAATGTTTTCTAATTGCAACTTTTCTCTGTGTGAGTCTCTCCAGGTTGAATTTTCACAGAAGCTATCACAACAAGTCACCAAAAACAAGCCAAAAAGATCTGAAAACTATTTCCCGGTGGAATAAGTCTTATTCTCAGCCGAAACATTTTGATGAAGGGTTATAAATCAAGTAAAAACTGCATTAAAGCATGAACCCATTTTGCTTTGTGTTAACCAGTCAGATGGCTGTTTGTATTTATTGGAAATGAGGTCTATTTTCTTGGTCCCCTTTGAACCACCTGGTTATCCACAAAACACTACAGCCACACCAAGAATTACAATGACAAACCATTGTCTGCAAATGCAGGTTTTCCTTTTAAGTGTCTTACAATATTATTTGATCTGCTGTAGCTGAATCTTGTTTATATCATCTGGAATTTCAAAATCAACCTTGAAAAACACATATAAAAACTGCTGAAATTTAGACTTCTGTTGTTGTTTTTTTTGGTTTTTTTTATCTTCAGCTTCCAGCAACACGTTGCCTCCCCCGCCCCACCTTGTACTGGAACCACATTGACTTAGTCACAACACTCCCACTTTAACCTTCCACATATTTCCTCCTGCGCACACATCCCTCTCCCATATCCTTATAAATTGGACAGGGATCCCATTATAGACCGATCTTGAGGGAAACCTGTTTCACCAGACTTCGTCCAGCTACGCAACACTTCACAGCCATGACTTTAACAGGATGCCCCATTGGCTTTTTGATGATGACAATCATAGCTCTTCTGGGTTGTCACCATGGAGGTAATCTGTTTACGACTTCTTAATGATTTTAAATTAATTCAATCTATACAGCCTTAAGTCATTGTTTTTTTATTTTATGGAGTCCTGGCCAAGAGGGAGCAAAATTACACATTAAACAGAAATACATTTACATTACGTTTTGTATCTTATCTTCTGTTTCTTAGAGACCAAGAGAAACTCCCAGACTCCTGTGCAAGTCCCATTCCCACCTGCTGTGCCTCATGCTGGGAATATCAATGCCATATGCCAGAACAGCCATTGTCGTCAGAGATACCCTCCTAGCTACTTCCCTCGGTCTGGTGTGAGCCATCTCCGCCGCCGTGGAACGGCCATAAACCGCCTGGAGTCATGGTACAGTTTGTGCTGTAGCAGTTTTTCTGCTGAAGAAGAAAAACTGTGCTGTCTACAACAAGCTGTAAGTACCAGAAGAACGGGGCAGAGATCAGTTTATGAAAGAAGTTCTCTGTGATCTTACTTCATATGTGTTTACTTATCAAATGAGCGTTATTGTTGTTTTTGTCTTACATTAATTTCATAGTAACTATTTTAAAGCCAGACTGGTTATTTTCTTTTACTCAGCAGTCTGTAATGTCCTTGAACTCTACTGGTTCAAAAGGGAATGTTTTACACCATTAAAACTGTCTCCATCTAATAAAAAAGGTCTGAGGCATGTCTTCTGACATGATATCCAACAAAAAACTAATAGCCACACCAAAATGATACATCAGATTCTACGGAAATCCTTTAGTCAGTGCTAAACTGTATTCCTAACTTTATATTAAGTTGCTAAATTTCATAGATTTGCCTGAATCTGATCTTAAAGCAGTTCTGATCTGCTTTAGGATCAGATTCAGTGCGGTTGTCCGTCCTGCGTACAGGCATAACTTTATTATCCTTCGAGAAGAGGAAAGATTTTTTTTTTATGTTTGAATTCTCCAAAGTTCTTTAAGATTCCCAGAAAGTCTTATAAGCTTTTGAATGTAATCATTTTTAAAAGATTTTAGGAAAATCCAGTAATTTGCAAGCAAAATATAAAAGATTGGATGCTGAAGATGTCTTGATATTACTACATATATGGCAGATAAAGCATGAATAGACCCCCAATAAAATCGTTCTTTCTTTAAGCCACTTCTGGTGATTTAAAGGGTTTGTTTAGTGCGGATAAACGAGTTCAGCTTTGATCACTGATTTGTATTTTCAAAAAGGGTATAAAATTCAATCCACATTTTCTTTTAAAATAAAACAAAAGGGTACAACTCTTCAATTTAACATTATGGTGTGTTGACATATTGTTACACAAGCATAACATAACTGTGGTCAAACCTTAGTTTAATAAATGTGGAGATAGACAAAAGTAAACCTAATCTGGGCAGAATTATAACCTTTTCTTTCAGATGCTCGTGTATCCCTTCACTACTCTGGGCAATAAGCCATATTGCTTATATAAAATCCACCTCTGTCATTGTGCTCAATATTACTAGCATTCAAATTAAAGTTTGTAAATATGTGTCAAATAACTCTTGAGTTAATTTGACATTTTTACTTCAAGGCTATCAATTCTATTTTTTTAACAAAAAAAACTTGAATGCAAATTAATTCCAGGTGCCTTAAAAAAATATAGTTTTTATTTTTTTCAAAATAGGTACACAAAGTGTGACAAAATAATATATATATATATTCAGGAGATGATAAAAAACAATTACTAAAGAAAGAATACTTCTAGATTTTCTTGATGACCGAAAGCCTTAAAAGCTGACTTCAGCAACACTGATTTTATTTAATTTTATTCACAGTGGAAACAAGCCCTGACTCGGTTCTGTGTGGAAGAATTTTCCACCATGACGTTGGCGTACAACTGCTGTGAGAACACAGGAGAAGACCGATGGAGATGCTTCATCGGGCGGCTTGAGAAGCCAGATTACAGCTGTGTTCCAGGCTACACTGCTCCAAGCATGGCCTCAGAGCCAGGATTCACTTATGACCAGAGCGCATGCTAAATGTGACAGATTATATATATGTCTCTCATTCTGACTCCTAGAATAGAGGGAAACCTAACAGCCTAGAGCAAATATTACTACATATCTTCATTTTGTTTTTGTCCAAGGCAGTCAGACGTAGAAAGTAGACGCTGTTTTGAATGTTCTGTAATTAAGAGAGTGGCTGAGCTACTTTTTTCTATGTTTAAACATTTATCATGCTTTTTTTTTATACATATATACCAAATTTAAAGAAGTACAGTAATTTTCAAGCTTATTATTCCAGGTTTTGAAAATGATCCTTTCATTAATCTCACAGTTCTTTGTGTCTTAAACACACACTGAAAACATAGTCACCTCTTCAAAGGCACATGTTTTGGTTCAAGTGGAGTTTCTGTAAAGGCTTTGGTAGACTGATGGCTAGATTTTATTTGAATGTATAATGCAAATGTAATCCATTAGTAGGACAGTTTTAAAAATCGGATTAAGTCTTTATAGAAATATGCTATGAATGTTAATAAATAAATATGACAAAATCTTGATGCTTTTTCATTTATGTTTCTTTATGGAGGACCTACTTCTCTAAATAGTAGGAACCAATGGTACATCCTATTTTTTGAGACATACTTTCAATATAAAAGCACAACTTGGCCTGTAAGACTGTACTATTGAGTTACCTTAATGAAAGTATTCCATGTTTTAGTGGTTTACTTTCTCCTTGTTATTAAACACTTCTTACAGTTCTTTTTTCCATTTATATGTTTTAATAAAAAGATATCTGAAACATCATTATTTTTTGAAAACATACAGAGTATCGAGCTGATTTGTACAATATTGAGCTGACCTACAAAAGTCTGAAGATAAAATCAACATACCTATTTAGTGCGGCTTTACCATATGGTCTAGCTCAACATATAAAGTAAAGCTCATTGAAACTTCTTTGAAATTTGAATGATTCAGCATTGAAATATGTTGAAAATTGCTTATCTGACAAACTGTCAGCTGATCAGCTTAAATCTTGTTCCTCTAAAGCAGAGGTCTTCAAAAGGGGGTTTGCGACCCCTAGGGGGGTCCACGGAGGTACTGCATGGGGGTCGCGAAAGTTAAAGTTTTGGTTAATTGCTTCTTTTTTTTGTATATTCCCCCCTGAAATGTTTTCCACTAATTGAAATATCTTCAAATACATATTAACATGAATTCAACACACTGAAGTGTGAACAGATAAATGGAGGCAGAAGGTGACTTTCAGTCATCAATGCACACATTCAGCGACACACAGGAGCTCTTTCAAGCTGGGCATAATTTCATTCACAACAACTGTCCCATCAATGAGGAATCAGAATCAGAAATACTTTAATAATCCCAGGGAGAAATTACTTTGGTTACACTACTCCATCTGTAATAGAGTGACTATAGGGCCAGTTTGATATAACACAATTTCATACTATATATATATATATAATTAGGGGGTTCCTGCTCCATCTCGCCATCAGTTTGTGGGTCCTTAGCCTGGAAAATGTTGAAGACCCTGCTCTAAAGTAATTGACTAAAGGGTACTGCTGGATGAGCAGACTTTTCTTTACTATATATAAAATAAATGTTGTGAAATCCTACATTACATGTTTCCTTTTTTTTTTTTTTGGAGCGATAACAATAAATCAATGGACAGTATGTCATCTAAAAAAAAAAATTATTTTTCTTTCACTGCCAATAAGGAAAATTATTTAACGACTATATTATATTTATCTATTTATTTATTTTAATATCTTTTTTTATTATTATTTAAGGTATAGATATTTTATTGTGAAAGCACTTGGAGTAACCGGAAGCGCGGTGTGCGCACGGTTTGAGCCACCCACAGAAACTGCCGCATCCGCATTGCTTCCTTGTTTACTTGTTTAGTGGGAATCCTAACTTTTTAAGACGAGTTTTTTGTTTTTCTGAAGAAAAAAAAAATCCTTAAACCCCTCTATTGGATTCTCGGGTAAGTTGACCATCAAGTCTTTTGTTTTTTTGGGTTTGCTCTGTTTTTAGTGCTTTTGGTTAAAGTGGTGTTAGCGGTTAGCCTCGTCTGTTTAAACGTAGCCACCCAACGATCCAGTTAGCAGTCACAATAACTCCCTTCGACATGTTCTGCTTTTGCAGTTAACACCCTACTTCCTATAATTTTACACGCAATCTAGCTGAAAGTAGGTGCTAGTTTAGTTACAGGAAAGATTATTTTGTTCCCAATTAAAGTTCTGGTTTTACTTTAATTGAGTTAGCCAACGTGGCTGTTTTAGATTGAATCTAAACTGAAGTGTTATCGATGAGCTTCTGTCTCTCAGCCCAGATCCACAGGCGATTTCTATCAGAGCCCAGACTGGTTTACTGCCTGAATGGCCACAGCATCTGAGGAGCCCCCAGGTCTTCAGGGCCAAGCTTCCAGTAAGTGCTGCTCTCTTTTCTTTTTCTGCTTTCTGGACAAACAAGGACCACTTATAGGATCTGAAATTACTTGTTTTAAAATCAATAAAAAATATATTTTAATCTAAAATGAACACATCCTGCAGTGTTATTATTTTTGTTGTTAATATTTAGTATCTGTTTTAAATCCTAATTGCTTTCCCTTTTAAAGTACTTCATACCTTTGCTGAACTTTGTTCTAGTTATGCGCTCACCTGTAAGAATGGAAAAAAAAAACCTTCTGTGTCTGTTTGCTGGAGGTTTAGGATGAATTGTCTCCATATACTCCATCTACATGAGTTTTTTAAACCCATCATGATGTGGATCACTTATACTAGATGATCGATGCTTAATGACCACAAATGTTTAGTAGAAAATGTACTTCTGCGCTTCTCTTTGAAGTAAAACTAATTAGAAAGTTTATGATACTAAAAACATGGAGGCATTATTTTGATGTTGTGTATCAAAACTAGCACTGAAACATTTGATCAGATTAATAAATTATTGAAATAATCGTCTACTAATTTAGTGATAGATTAATCGTTAGCTGAAGTACAAAGACTGTAAAACATGTCTTTAGCTGACAGAGCAACCTAACTTGAGCAGCAATTATACCAAAAGGTTTTAAAAACATATATAAACATTTTGCATTTAAAATAAATAAAAAAGTCTGTCAATATGCTCTATCCAGATCTCTTCAAGTGGAAAATTTTTGTTTCACCTGGTTTTATTTCACAAAAAGTCTTTTTTAAGGAACCTTTGGCTGTCCAATTATTAATTGATAAAGCAAAATAATAATTGATTTGCAATATAATCATTAGTTGCAGCCCTTGTCAAATCTGTAATCTGTTCAATATAGGAAAAACCTATAGTAAAACAGTAAATTATGAAGATAAAATATCTACGAATCAAATTGTGGAAGAAGCTTTGGTAGAGTAGTCCAGTTTAGTTTTAAGTACTAGTGCAATAGTAAATAAATAAGTTAGCAAAATCCTGTCACTTTTCATACATATTTAAATCCTCATAATATAAATACAAACATTCTGGTCCTTATTCCACATTTATACTGTGCCCCTTTGGACAATGAAAATGAAGACTGTATGGTTATGTATCATCCCTTTTTTCTATATGTTTAACCTTCTTATTGCAAATTAAGCTGTTTTTCTTTTTTCTTTTTTATACAACCTTCTCCCACCAGAAAAAAAATAATTAAATTGTAACTATAGAAGGAAGATTACATGGGTTTTTTATTTACTCTATTTTTTCACTTCTTTTTGAGTATCAACATCAGCTCTTACAAGGAGGGGAACGGCAAAATCCACGGTTCGGTTCATGGTTTCGTGGTCACGGTTTTCGGTTCGGTTTCAGTATATGTTGATTGTTAGGAAAATCTATTATGTCTTGTATAGTATAACACGTGTTGCACTTTTATCCACAACTTTCTTTCCGCCGTCATCGTAGGTCACTCTAAATTCAAAGTGGTCCCATACAGCAGACCTATAAAGTGCTGCTGGCGCGTCTTCCAACTCCTGTTCTTTCCCACTCGCCAGTCCGACACAATTCTCCACA